ACCATTGGACTGGAAAAGAGAGGTGCGACTGTTATGCAATGATGACTATTATGCAGTGAAATAAGGTACCTCAAGGCTCATTTCCTCCAACTCTATGCCAATATATGAAGCTACAGTTATGTTAAGCTATTCTTGTCACATGGTCATCTAACTTCTGTCTACAAACCCCCAAGGAAGGAGAACCCACCACTTTCTAAAATAGTTTGTCCTGCTGTTAAGCATCAGGAAGTTCTTAAGAATATTTAAATTTGACTTCAGTATTCATGGGGCCCCCGTGGCACAATGGGTTAAACCCTTGTGCCTGCAGAATTGCTGACTGACAGGACAGCGGTTCAAATCTGGGGAGAGCAGGTTGAGCTCCCTCTGTCAGCTCCAGCTCCTCATGCAGGGACATGAGAGAAGCCTCTTACAAGGCTGGTAAAACATCAAACATCTGGGCGTCCTCTGGGCAACGTCCTTGCAGATGGCCAATTCTCTCACACTAGAAGCAACTTGCAGTTTCTCAAATTGCTCCTGACACGAAAAAAACCTGTGTTCATGTCAATCCACTAACATTCAAACAACTGAATTATAGCATCTGAAATTATTGAGTGGCATCATAATCATTTCGGTGCTATTGCAAAAATCTCCACATACAATAATTGAATATTTTCCTAGCTCTCTCCATTGTTCTGCAGTCAACAGCCTTTTGACAATTTCTCTCTGTATTTGACCAGTAAGAATTGTGATACCTTGCACCTTTTGCTATATAAATAATTATTATTGTTTTCTGTGAAATTTTGTTTGCTATATTTTACATGCCTGTATCAATTGATGCAGAGATTTGCATTTGTCTACATTTTCTAGATAAATGTAGTACTAATAATGGTGAGAAAAAGATGTTTTGAGTAAGTAATAAAGAGCAACAGCCAATATATCCAAAGTAAAAATGGAAGAAAATGTTTGGGTAGAATATAGCAGATACATAATTGTATTTTCATTGACATAACACATCTATCATTTCCTCTGCCAACAGAATTCTGGAATGTGATATTTCTGAGTAAGACTACCATTTTTGCTCTATTTATCTTTCAAGAAACTCAGGGTGGTACCCATGGCATTCTTGCCTTGTCTCCTATGACATAGACTGGACAAAGAAGGATTGTTTGGGCCAGAGCCACCTGAAGCTTCATAGCTGATCGGAATTCAGACCCAGGTATGCCAAGTTAAACCTCACTGCACTATAAGAAAAAACCAGTCATGACCACTGAGTGTTGGTGGCCTGTTGCTGAACTCTGTTTTTAGAGATATAGTAAAAGCAAAAGTACTTTAAGGACATGCCTGGACAAGGACAAGTAACTGGACTTTAAGGACAAGTCCAGTAACCAGTGACTTCCATATTATGGGCAATCCACACTGGATTTTACTCCAGACTTTAAAGAAGCTATCCCAGGTGCTGAACCCTATTTCCCAAACAGGTTCAGCACCTTGGAGAGCTTCTTTATAGTCTGGGATAAATCCTAAAGTAGATTCCCTGTACTTCTGACAGGGCTGCAGCAGCAAGGCTTTCTCTTTCACTCAGTGTGATGCCAAATGGCTGGATTGATCAGAACATACCAGAATGAACACACATGCTACATGTGAATTACAAACTACTTCTTCCCCTAAGAATCAACAGTATGTATTCATACTACTGGTGTAGTTCCAACCCAACTGAGAGCCAGCTGTGGTGTAGTGGCTTGAGCTCGGGCTTCGGGAGACTATGATTTAAATCTATGCTTGGTTGTTGTTGTTGTTGTTGTTGTTGTTGTTGTTGTTGTTGTTATTATTATTATTATTATCATCATCATGTCAGGAGCGACTTGAGAAACTGCAAGTTGCTTCTGGTATGAGAGAATTGGCCATTAGCAAGGACGTTGCCCAGGGGATGCCCGGATGATTTGATATTTTTATCATCCTTGTGGGAGGCTTCTCTCATGTCTCTGCATGAGGAGCTGGAGCTGATAGAGGGAGCTCATCCGCCTCTCCCCGGATTCGAACCTGTGACATGTCAGTCTTCAGTCCTGCCGGCACAGGGGTTTAATCCACTGCACCACCGGGGGCTCCATCTATGCTTGGTGAAGGAAACTAATGGGATGATTTGAGTCATGTCACACTACCTTCGCCTCAGAAGAAGTCAAAAGGAACACCCCATGGTGTGGTCATGTTAGGACACATGTCAAACACAAGGTCTGCAGGCTGAATCAGACCCGCCATATCATTTTACGTGGCCCTCCAGATGCTGGACTACAACAACTCCTGTATTCTTCATTACTAGACATTATGACTAGAGCTGATGGGCTAATGAAATTTGTTCTGAGTCAGGAGAGTGGGGTTTGAATTTAGATGCAAGGGATCTGTTGTCTGACTTCAAAAGCAACAAGTGCTGTTGGGTTGCTATTCCCAGTATCAACAGTCCACATGGACAATTAATCCAAAATGATGAAATTTGTCATTCAGTGACATCTGGGGACCCAGAAAACCAGGAATCTTTTGGAAAGGCATGACCTTGTTATAAGTGTAAACTTTTGTAAAGTATGATTTCCCTGAGAAGAGTTAAAAACTCGCTTGTGTCTAAGCGGTCAATATATCCACTAGTATCCATGAAAGGCAATTAGAGAGCACAATGAGCATGTAGTCCAAATGTGACCAATGTCCTCCCCAAATGCTATACTGCCCTCCACCTAAGTAACGTTTTTATTTGGGGACAATTTCATCCTAGATTTGACATATTTTCTCCTCCACAGCCAGGCACCCCAGGGTTCCAAGTGTGGAATTTGCATGACCCCGCCCACTGCCTCTCCTTAACCCTTTTCCTGCCTTTTCCTATGGCACACAATAAACACAGAGGAATTGATCATGGCAGGGTTTGGGGATGATTGCCCTGGGAATCTGGGAGTTGTACTTCACCCTTATCCAGAGAGCACTTAACCCAGCCAACAATGGATCTGGACCAAACAGACCCACTATGGGCAACTTTGCATACTGGCAGGGTTTGGAGGTGATTGCCCTGGGAATCTGGGAGTTGTAGTTCATTATTCAGAGAGCATTAAACCCAGCCGATATCAGATCTGGATCAAACTTGGCACACAGATCCAACATGGCCAACTTTGAAAAATGGCAGGGTTTGAGAAGGATTGACCTACGATTCTGGGAATTGCACTACACTCACATCCTTATGCATTTTCTAATGGGAGCATTCATAAAAAACAAAAGGAAAGACTGGTTTTTTTTCCCTAATAAATGCCATATACATTACCAACAGGGGCGGCTCAACCCATTACGCAAAGTAGGCATTTGCAGCATAGTTGATTTTGCCCAGGGGCGCTCTTGAGGTGCTCTTGGGGGAAAATAGACCTTGACATACGCAAGTTGTAGTTACTGGGATGTATAGTTCACCTACAATCAAAGAGCATTCTGAACTCTACCAATGATGGAATTGAACCAAATATGGCACACAATCAAATCAATCTAATCAAGGTGAAAGAAGAAAGCGCAAAAGCTGGGTTGCAGTAAACATCAAAAAAACCAAGATTATGGCAACAAGAATGATTGACAACTGGAAAATAGAGGGAGAAAATGTGGAGGCCGTGACAGACTTTGTATTTCTAGGCGCAAAGATTACTGCAGATGCAGACCGTGGCCAGGAAATCAGAAGACGCTTACTTCTTGGGAGGAGAGCAATGTCCAGTCTCGATAAAATAACAAAGAGCAGAGGCATCACACTGGCAACAAAGATCCGCCTAGTCAAAGCCATGGTATTCCCTGTAGTAACCTACGGATGTGAGAGCTGGACCTTAGGGAAGGCTGAGCGAAGGAAGATCGATGCTTTTGAACTGTGGTGTTGGAGGAAAGTTCTGAGAGTGCCTTGGACTGTGAGAAGATCCAACCAGTCCATCCTCCAGGAAATAAAGCCCGACTGCTCACTGGAGGGAAGGATACTAGAGACAATGTTGAAGTACTTTGGCCACATCATGAGGAGACAGCAAAGTCTAGAGAATACAATTATGCTGGGGAAAGTAGAAGGCAAAAGGAAGAGGGGCCGACCAAGGGCAAGATGGATGGATGGCATCCTTGAAGTGACTGGACTGACCTTGAAGGAGCTGGGGGTGGTGACAGCCGACAAGGAGCTCTGGCGTGGGCTGGTCCATGAGGTCACGAAGAGTCGGAGACGACTGAACGACTGAACAACAACATATATCAGTGATTGGTTTGGGGGGGGGGGGCGCAAAAATACTGTTTGCTTACCATTGAAAATTACCTAGGGCCGCCTACCAAACTGATATTACCAAACTTTGAAAAACAAACAATGCCTTTCTCAAATAACCTGGGCACCGCTGGGTCTCTAGGCTAGTCAATAATAAAGATCGAACGGCAAAGACTCTGACACAAACCAGTCAAGGTGGTCCCAATGGTGATCAGCACACTGGGTGAAGTGCCTAAAGACCTTGGCCTGCGCTAAAAAACAATCAGTGCTGACAAAATTACCATCTGTCAGCTGCAAAAAAACCGCCCTGCTTGGATCTGCATGTATTATGAATGTATAATAATAATAATAATAATAATAATAATAATAATAATAATTTGCTGATACATCACACAGTCCTAGACACTTAAGAAGTGTCTGGTGTGTGATCCAATACAAAAACCAGCAAAGTGATCTTGTTGTGCACCAAATAACAACAACAACAACAACAACAACTATAAGGCTGATGTCTCCCTGGGTGAAAAATGGGTTGGACACCCCTGTGTTAAAGTCTTCATAAACCAAAGAGGAACTAGAGGGGGCTGGGAAGGGGGATGCCCATGGAGTGTGTGTGCCTGTGGGCAAGAGAGCCTGGGTGTAAAGGGGAGGGGGCTATTTTTAAACTCTCCCTAGCAGTGGAGCCTTTGATGAATTATTCATGACTAGACAGGGAAAAGGGGGGGGGGGGGAGGAGAAGGGGCCGGTGTGCTGATGTCAGTCAGGAGGAAGGGAAGCAGAGAAACCTCTGCTGCTGCTGCTGCTACTGCATTGAGAGAGAGAGAGAGAGAGAGAGAGAGAGAGAGTCAGGCTGAGCGTTAAGGGTGCAGCATGCTGCTTGGCTCCGGTTCCACTGCCAGCCTTTCCAGCAGCAGTAGCAGCAGCAGCAGCAGCAGAAGCATCCTCCTCTTGGGCAGCAGCAGCAGCCGCCTTGCAGGGCCAAAAGAGGGGCACGAGGAGGAGGAAGAGGAAGGGGAGGAGGAGGAGGAGGAGGAGGGAGCAGCATGGCTCGCCTGCCGCTTGGCGCCTGGGGCTGCTTGTGTCTGCTGGGGCTGGCGGTGCCTTGCCTGCTGCAACGCGCCCAGGTGAAGAAGCCCTTCCGATGCCCGGCCACCTGCAGCAGCTGCACCAAAGAGTCCGTCATCTGTGTCGGATCCGCCGGCGTGCCCCGCAGCCTCCCCGGAGACATCAGCTCCCTGTAAGTCCCCAGCCCAGAGAGACAGCCAGCCTTGGGCCAGGCAGGGAGAGGCAAGCAGGCATGCATGGCCCAGACCCTTCGAGGGATGCCTCCCTCCCATTGGCAAGAGTGCCTGCTCATCCCATGGAGCAAGAGTTGGTGGGACTTTCTCAACCACCATAGGACCATTTGAGCCAATCCTTGGAAGGGGTGGCTTGATGGAACTCAAAGCCAAACCCAACTCAAGTGGCTGGCTAGATGTCAGAGTCTCCGGAATGACATCTGGGTGAGCTTCTTGAGCTTCACTCTTGGAGTCTTTAGAAAGCGTCTGGGATGCCCAACTCAAGTGGCTGGCTATATGTCAGAGTCTCCAGAAAGGTTTTGACATCTGGGTGAGCTTCTTGAGCTTCACTCTTGGAGTCTTTGGAAAGTGTCTTTGGAAAGAAAGGGACAGAGGGAGGGATGCCCAACTCAAGTGGCTGGCTATATGTCAGAGTCTCCAGAAAGGTTTTGACATCTGGGTGAGCTTCTTGAGCTTCACTCTTGAGGTCTTTGGAAAGAGTCTTTGGAAAGAAAGGAACAGAGGGAGGGAAAGAAACAACAGTGGGCTGTTGTGAGTTCTTCAGGCTGTATGGGAGTTTTCTGACCTCACAACCTCTGAGGATGCCTGCCACAGATGCAGGAGAAACGTCAGGAGAGAATGCTTTGAGAACATGGCCTTACAGCATGAAAAACCTACAACCCAGTGATTCCAGCCACAAAAGCCTTCAATAATATATATATATATATATATATATATATATATATATATATATATATGGCCATGTTCCAGAAGCATTCTCTCCTGACGTTTCGCCTGCATCTGGAACTCAAAGCAAAACCCAACTCAAGTGGTCAGCTATATGTCAGAGTCTGCAGAATGACATCTGGGTGAGCGTCTTGAGCTTCACTCTTGGAGTCTTTGGAAAGAGTCTTTGGAAAGAATGGGACAGATGGAAAGAAAAAAACAACAGTGAGTTGTGAGTTTTCTGACTTCACAACCTCTGATGATGCCTGCCACAGATGCAGGAGAAATGTCAGGAGGGAATGCTTCTAGAATATGGCTTTACAGCCCGAAAAACCTACAATAACCCAGTGATTCCAGCCGTGAAAGCCTTCGACAGTACATATGTATGGCCATGTTCCAGAAGCATTCTCTGCTGATGTTTCACCTGCATCTGGAACTCAAAGCAAAACCCAACTCAAATGGCTGGCTAGCTGTCAGAGTCTCCAGAATGACATCTGGGCGAGCTTCTTGAGTCTTTAGAAAGAGTCTTTGGAAAAAGTCTTTGGAAAGAAAGGGACAGAGGGTGGAATGCCCAACTCAAGTAGCTGGCTATATGTCAGAGTCTCCAGAAAGACTTTGATATCTGGGCGAGCTTCTTGAGGTTCACTCTTGAGTTTCAACTGCCCTGGAACAAGTTGAGTCTTTGAGACAGAAAGAGACAGAGGGAGGGAAAGAAACAACAGTGGGCTGTTGTGAGTTTTCCAACCTCACAACCTCTGAGGATGCCTGCCACAGATGTAGGAGAAACTTCAGGAGAGAAGTTTCTCCTGAATGTTTTCTAGAGCATGGCCTTACAGCCCAAACAACCTACAACAACCCAAGGATTCCAGCCATGAAAGCCTTCGACAATACATATGTATGGTCATGTTCCAGAAGCATTCTCTCCTGACATTTTGCCTGCATCTATGGTAGGCATCCTCACAGGTATCCTCTAAGAATTTCTGCTATAGATGCAGGAGAAACGTCAGGAGAGAATGTTTCTGGACTCACAACACAGTGATTCCAGCCATGAAAGCCTTTGACAATGCAAAGAAACAACAGCTTGAAACTCCTTTATTCTGCTTTCCTGGATCTGTTTACTTGGGAGGAAGCTCCACTGAACTCACCACTGTCACCCCAGCTTAGTTTTATTTTGCCTGCTTAGTTCTATCCCTTACAAAATGCATGAATAGACATGGAAGTAAACTTTAAAATAAGGGAGGAAGGGGAAAAATTGGGTATGTATAAGTCATAAATAAGTACAGAAATGGAAAAGATAGGAAAACAGGAATCATCAGAATATTATGAGAATATGTGGGATTTTTTTTTGTAAAGGTGATTGTGACGGTGTTACAATTTACTTATATAATCCTATCTAACTATACACACAAACACACACACACACACATAAACACCCCCCCCCCCACACACACACACAAACTCACACAAACACACACACGGGTGAGTCAAAACATAATGCCTCCCTCGCTCTAACTTTTCTTTCTTTCCCAGCTACTGGACTATCAATGCATGACCTTACTCTACTGATGTAGCCTTTTTTCCAGTTGACTGATTAGAACCATGAATCTGAAGCTCAAATAAAGAGTCACTATTGAATTTCTGGCAAAAGAAGGTTGCGCACCTAAGGAAATCCACAATCACTTGAAGAATGTTTATGATTTGGCCCCTTCTGACTTTTACTTGTTTGGACCTCTGAAAGACCACCTAAGTGGTTTTGATGCCTGGGTTAAATGATGGCACACATGTGTACACATTGATGGTGACTATGTTGCACAATAGTTTTGTGTAGAGACAGTTCAGCCTATGATCCGTAGCAACTTCTGCTGTTATATGTTCACTCATAACATTTTTATGACACAGGAGGCAAAACTTTTTGACCCACCCTTGTGTATGTGTCTGAGTGTGTGTGTATACATATACACACATATATGCACACACACACAAACTTTAAAACAATATTTACAATTTGCTTTGGAGTTGAAATCTTCCATCCCGAAGTAGCTCAGCTTTTCCTTTCCAAGGGAAAGGCAATCAAAAGTAGGAAGGATGTAGCATGACTTGCTTTGCTGGAAATATTTTTTTGGGAGGACTTGATTTATTGGTGGAGAAACCATACTGATGGTCAGGTTTGGAGTTAAGGGAAGGCAAGGAGTACATGCTGGCTGGTGACGATGAAAGTTGGCATCCCACATGTCCAAAGGATAAATGTTGTGCTGGCAATATAATAAATAAAGTATTGCAAATGATTCCTGCCTACGGATCCTTCCTGCACTTTTTTTGTTCCTTTCTCAGGAGCCTGGTCAATGGAACCTTTGCTGAAATTAAAGAAAGGATGTTTTCCCATCTGCCCTCCCTGCAGTTGCTGTAAGTATTACCCCTTATTTTAAAAGAAAAGAATTAAAAGATATCCTTACAACTGATTTCTGGTTGGAGACATCAGTGCACTTTTAAAAAGCTCTTTCAGAATCATAGAGTGGACCCATCTTTGATCATTAACCTGTGCAATGGAAAACATTTGGTGATTCTAACTTTGAACAGAAAAGACCACACATTGCAAAGAATATCTCAAGGAAGCTAGAAGTACATAGATCCAGTAATGTGGAAATGTGAATACAAAACAACTGTAGTAATATACTAAATACCACATACTAAATTACAACATTAATAATAATAATAGTAATAATAATAATAATAATACTTGTTTATCATGTCAGAAGTGAATTGAGGGTAAAGTTGTCATGAATTTAAAAACACAAACAAAGTTAGAAAACTTGGCATTATACTAAATGTCCCATGACCAGTAGCTGGACACTTGGAATGCCTCTGGTGTTGCTGTAAGAAGGTCCTCCATTGTGCAAGTAGCTCAGACTGCATTGTAATAGGTGGTCTTTGGTTTGCTGCACACCGCACACTGCACTTGCCCTATAATGCCTTATATACCACCTGTCACATCAGCACTTTTAATCCTGTACCCATTACTTTGGCCCAGCCCAGTTTTATTGTGTCTTAGTGTATTGTTTATTGCTTGTTGTTTATATTGCTTTAATTGTTTTTAATTTGCCTTAGGTTTTGTATTGTTATATTGTGTGTTGAGGCCTTGGCCTTTGTAAGCCGCATCGAGTCTTTCGGGAGATGCTAGCGGGGTACAAATAAAGTTTACTAATAATAATAATAATAATAATAATTGCTCTTCTCCACACTCACATGTCGTGGACTCCACCTTGTAGCCCCATTTCTTAAGGCCGGCTCTGCATATCATGGTGCCAGAGCGCAGTGTGTTCAGTGCCTTCCAAGTCACCCAGTCTTCTGTGTGCTCAGGAAGAAGTCCTCATTTGGTATTAGCCATGGATTGAGATTCTGGGTTTTAGCCTGCCACTTTTGGACTCTCGCTTGCTGAGGCGTTCCTGTGAGTATATTTGTAGATCTTAGAAAGCTATTTCTTGATTTAAGGCATTGGTGTGCTGGCTGATATCTGAACAGGTGATGGGCCAAAGTTAGCACTGTCTTGGTCCTTTCATTATTTACTACTACTTCCTGGTGGATGTTAGATGGTGCAATACCGGCTAAACAGTATAATTTCTCTTGTGGTGTGGGGCTTAGACATCCTGTGATAAGGCAGCATGTCTCATTAAGAGCCACATCCACTGTTTCAATGTGGTGAGATGTGTTCCACACTGAAATGTGTAATATAAATAAAGTGTATTATTATTATTATTACTATTACTCTGTGACTTGCAGCATAATAATAATACACTTTATTCATATTTCGCCTTTCTCCCCTAGGGACTCAGAGCAAATTACAGCATTTACATACATAGGCAAACATTCAATGCCTTTTACAATCATATACAAATGAGACATACAAGCACAAAGGCAGAGGCTTCTCCTTTTATTTCCGGCTTCTGGAAGTGGTGCTCATCTCTGGCTCTGGGGAGGTGCTTTCCTCCATTTTCAAGCTGAGGAGTCTGCATTGTCACCTGCTGGTTGTGTGGCCGGCAAGATTGCTTGGAGCATCTTTTTGCCTTTTCCCGCCAAAGCAGTACCTATTTATCTACTCATGTTTGTATGTTTTCGAACTGCAAAGTTGGCAGGAGCTGACAGACATGTGCTCACCCCATCTCACAGATTTGAACTGCCAACCTTCAGGCCAGCAGTTTAGGCCAACCAACTTTCAGGTCAGCAGTTCAGCAGTACAAGGGTTTAACCCATTGCATCACGTGGCTCCTCCCAACATTACTTTTTTTAAAGCAAAAGAAAACTTAACTCACAGATCTATTCACATAGGAGAGGAAAACTTAGCAGACAACTCCATACCTACAGGCTATAATGACAAGTCACCAATTAATCAGTTTACAAAGAGGCACCCCCAAATATAGCAGAAATGGGCAAGCATTTGAGTGAGTTCTGGTATGACCTCGTGATACCATTTATATAAATGCACACGATAGCATTAGGTATGTAATTTTAATTCACAATAACAAAATCAATGCAGACAGGACTAAAAGGCAAGGCAACTGTCAAAATTAATAAGTGAGGCCAACTGGAAAACTGCCAGCAAGTGAATAATTCAAAATATACAATGATCACAGCGTAAATTGACAGAGACAACAAGACTGCTGCAGTAAGTTGCACAACAGTTGGCAAAGTATAGTTCGTGGTCAGGGATTGTTATGGATTGTTGTGGATTCAGCTTTTCAAATTTCAGCATTTACATTTTGATATTACTAGATATGTGTGTGTACAACAGAGAGAGAGAGAGAGAGAGAGAATATACATCTATGCTTGTTTAGTTTGACTTGTATCTTCAGGGATGTTGTTTGCTACATATGGTCCTTTCTATTATAATTTTTCATGTTGGAGAACCCATTCATAGAATCGTAGAATCATAGAGTTGGAAGAGACCTCATGGGCCATCCAGTCCAACCTCCTGCCAAAGAAGCAGGAAAATTGCATTCAAAGTAATCCCAACAGATGGCCATCCAGTCTCTGTTTAAAAGCCTCCAAAATAGAATATGAATTTTTTACTTTCTTACATTCTGGAGAAGACTGAGAATTTGGATGGTCATCTGTCGGGGGTACTTTGAATGCAATTTTCCTGCTTCTTGGCAGGGAGTTGGACTGGATGGCCCACGGGTTCTCTTCTAACTCTATGCTTCTATGATTCTATAATTGCATTGCAGTCAAAGCCAACTTCTTGCCATGATAGATTTCCAACTAAAACGGCGAAGAGTTATAGAGGAAAGGAAAGTTAAACCTTCTTCAGTTGTATCTCCACTAGCAGAAATGCACTTTCATTGATATTGGCTAATAAAGCAACTTCTGTGATAGATGTTGGAATATATGATGAACGGATGCATCATACAGTCATCCATGGTTTGGGACATTCTTTTTCAAGTCTTCTGCTACAAAATTTAGAAGAAATACTGTTCCAGCTGCAGTGTCATGTTGTCAAAAATCTCAAGGGGAAGTATATCATCGGTCACCACTGCGATCAGCACCAAATGTTTTGCACCATCATAGCAACACCTCTGTTACATCTTTGACCCAATTTATCCTTTGTTTTCTTTTTGATTTACCTTGAAAAAGTTCCTAAATTGTCTTGATCTGTCTGAACTTCTCCACTGCCATTTCCCAGCATTGTCCACAGAGTTATGGTTCTCTGGGCCTCTTCTGACATCACTATTTATGTCTCAAACTGTGGTCCTCCAGCTGTTTGGGCCTCCAACTCCCAGAAGCCCTAGCTAGCTTCTTCAATGTTCTTGAATTCTGGGAGTTGGAGGCAGGGCCATAGCCAGAAAACTTTTTTGGGAGGGGTTGACATTTTCGGAGGGGGGGGGTTGACATTTTCGGAGGGGGGGGGTTGAAACCTGCCTCCTAGCTCACGCTGAAGCAAAGAGCACAGCAGGGGGCAGAGCAGCCTTCAATAGTCTGCAGCTCCACCCCTGTCAACCACCTCCACCAAGTCTGGCCTCCTTAATGAGAGCATTCAACATACACACCCCCAACTTGGTTGCTTCACTACATCGGCTATTGCTGCAAGTAATGACACTGTGAATAAATTGTCAATATTTGCTTAAGATAGTGCTTGCAGTTCTGAAGGGACTCTTAATTTTTTGCATCTCATAGACTTAGCATGGGGATTTGGTTAACCAGTTAAAATTCATGAGTAAACCAGGCTTTTTTAAAAAAAATCTGAAACATTTCGGGGGGGGGGGTTGAACCCCTAACCCCCCCTCCCCTCACTACAGGCCAGGTTGGAGGCTTAAATGGCTGGAGAACCTCAGTGTGAGGATGCCTGGTTTATACAGTGGTATATAATAGCTTCCAAGTCAATTGGCTGGAGGATTTTAGGCTATATTTCAAGGGAGCTATCCAGGCTGCTGAGCTCTATTATCCTAAACATAATCAGCACCTTAGTAGATTTGACCAGACTCAGTGGTACTGATTCATTTCCATTTCTTCCCCATTTTCAACAACCAATAGATATGAACTGGTGATCTAGCCTCATGGCCCATGGTTTAGAAATCAAGTTATCTCTAGTGCTCCTTCTGCAAAATGCTTCCACTAGGAACAGTACAGCAAACTGCTAGATGATACAATGAATTGCACAGCTGTTGACAGAGTGCAGAGCTTTGGGTTTCTTGGATTACAGCTCTCTGTAACCCTTCAGACAGCCTCAACATTGATAGAAGTCGTCCTTCCTAATCTATAGTTCACTGTGGCATGAGCAGGATTGTGGGCTCTAGCCCCATTCCTTACATCTTCTATGCCTTCACATCTTGCTATTGTGCTATTAAGGACTGTCCAGATCAGACCTTGATTGATCTATCCTAGCCATAATTTAGAGCATCTTCCGTATAAATCATTATATGGGAGATTCCTTCTAATATTTTCCACTGTTATTAAATTGCATTGATTGTTTCACTCAGCTTTCTATGTCTTCTAAACTATGGCACATAAGTTAGAATACGAGATCCTGAGTCAGCAGAACTGACAGGGTCAAGCTCAATAAATGCTTGACAGTGGTATAAATACATGACTGTATAGCCACTAGTTTGCAAGCAATCTGTCATATTTTTTTTGATACTCCATCACAAGAATCAAGGCTATTCCTTCGTTTTCTAAAGTCTAGGCGTTTCCTCTTGAGCATGCTAGATTAAGTAGATTGTGCAGAGGGAAGAAGTAAGGCTGATTCTTAATGGATAGGACCAACAGTGACTGAGAGAAGTGTTTGTGAATTTATTTATTTCCTCCTGCATGGATGTTTCTTTGGGCATGTGTTTTTATGAAGAAAAGTAAAATGTGGCACTTAGAGAAAACATTATGGAGAACGGCATGACTTTCTAAGATTAGATGGTCCAGCCACTACTTTAAAGGGTTTTCTTAATGGGGAAGAGCAGGGTCCAATGGCAGGGGATGATCCCCTTGTCAATAAAACTGTGAATGCATTCCAGGCTTCTGTTAGTATTTAAAGAAGGTATCCAAAGTGTCGGTTCACTGTCCCATTGACATGGAAGTCATCAGATGCCAAGAACAGTGCATCTAGGAGTTATCCAAGGTGTTTAATCCTAAATTAACCATATTTTCACTGTTCCACTGTTATCCCTACGTAACTACAATATGTCTCCATTTCAAGTCCCCGACCCCCCCCCCCCCGACTTTTTCTCTATTGCAGTTCTTCCTAACATGGTCATTTCCTGGCCAGTGAAGAGCAAGGGAATGTCATAGAAAGGTTCAGTTATTTTCCCACAGCTAGTAATCGTCACTGGGATTTCAAAAGGAACATGCTCCCATTCCCCACCTTCCTTAGGATGTCTTGGGATTCTTATCACTAACCATGATAGGAAAATATCTGAGTTATTTTCTGTTTTTCTCCCACAAAGCAGTGACATCTTTATTGGCCCAACTAAAAAAGTACAAAATATACTATGCAAGCTTTTGAAGCTTCACTGGCTTCTTCAACAAGAAAAAAATGTTAACAATCATACAGGAGAGTCACAGGCCTAGGTTTTATCTCAGGGGTGATGTCTGTTGTCTGTTGAGATTGTTTAGAGTGATATCAATGCAGTCAATGGATCTTCAAAAGTGGCATTGTGTATTTTCTGCTTTTTAGTTGGCCCAATAAAAGTATTGTTGTTTTGTGGGTTTGCCGCATTCTATTCATGGCCAACACAGCTATACCTGAATATGTTTTCTCTCCCTCCCCCTCCCATTCTCAGCTGGCTAGGAAATGACAATATTGTGGTATTGAGCAAAGAAAATATAATTTGGGATCATGGTTATTGCATGGTTGGTAGAGATGTCCAACATCTGCAGTGACCAAAAAGTGACTTACAATAGTGAAATTTGGACTCATGGGATCATAACTCATTAACATGATGCCAGCAACGAATAGCAGTGTCTCTAGGAGCTATCCAATATGCCGATCTTCAAAATAGGCTCACCATCCGAATGACATGGGAACCACAAAAAATTCCAATTTTTAATCCCACTGAAAGTGTCTCCTGATCTTTTGAATGTGATGTCTGCACTGAGGAGAAAGGAGCTGTGATCAATCAAGAAAAAGACATACTTGGAAAAAAGGCAATATTTCTGCCTGTCTCTTGTGCTGCTTCTTAACTTGACCTCGCCAATGAACAGAATTTAAGAAATGGATAGAAGAATTATCAATCTCAATCTTCCAGCTAAGCTATCCATCAAAGATTATTATTAAATACTGTAAAAGCAGCAGATAGTATCTAATCTTGATTAGAACTCAGTGATGTGATGGTATAGCTTGGTGGAGCAAGGAAGAAGTGTCAGTTGGGAAGTTGATGTAATGAATGGGTAGTCCCTGGGGATATCTACATGAGCAGGCGACAATTAGTCTTGTGGCACCAACATGCTGCATCAGCCTTCTTGCCCTCAAGTCAAGGCAAGGCTATTTAATGGAGTTTTGCCCCATGTAAGCCAAAGTTGGGAAATGCTCTGGAACTTCAGAGAAATGCTCCAAAGCACTTCCAGTTATGTGTATGGGCTGGTACTGATCTGGAACTTCTATGCCTTGGGGGCAGAGGGATGGTCCTGTCACTTGGTGGCCTTGTTGCTGTTGTGGTGCTCCTTGCCATCTTTGGTTTCCATTGCTACCATTTTTATGTGTACTTGTCCAAATCAGAGAGGCTAGGGGAGTCATTCCCGCCTCTCTCCAAGTTTTGTGGTATCTTTCAAATGTCAGAAATGATGCCTAAGGATGTCCAGGAGCTCTTTGCAGTTCTGTCACCATCATGGCAATTACAATGGATTGCACTTTACATTGATATGTTCACTCTCAGTAATTGTTGCCCTCTTGATTTTTTTCCTGCCATATTACTACGTAAATGTTGCTCGAAACCTGGTTCGATTAAATTAGTTTACTTCCTTTCTTCTTCTGAACCTGCTGTGTTTTGTTGGCGAGTTATGAATTCATTGTAAACTGGGCAGTTTAATCTGACCAATGTGATTAGTTAGAGCTCATCTAGGGATTTTCTTCTTCAGAATCTCATCTGATAAGGGATGCGCTCAGCTCCTTCTCTGCAAACATATTGCTTCAACACCACAAGTCCCCTTTCACTTTTCTGCAGTTGTTTCTTGCTGAGAGAGACATAAGAATTTGCCTCTAAGTCACATTCTAAAGTAAATTTTCAGAAAATAAATATAACTATTATTGCTGAAGAAAACACCATTGTCAGTACATAGTGAGTGCTGGCATTCAGTTTAATACTGTACATCATCCATTATCCAGCTGTTATTTTCTCCAATGGAAAAACAACAGCAGAGATACACATCCTTGGTTATCAGCCCTGGCAGTTATTTATTGTTCCTCTTTCATCTTCTCCCCTCTTCACTTACATCTGACATCATTGGAAGATTATTAAAACTTCTCCCTCTGCCATGTGCACGTCTGAAAAACTCACAGAATTGCACACTTTTTGCCATCATCTCCAACTATTAAACATAAGGTGACATTACAGAACTTTGGATGCCTCTCTCCAAATACCTAAAGCAGGGGTCCTCAAACTAAGGCCTGGGGGTCAGATACGGCCCTCCAAGGTCATTTACCCGGCCCTCGCTCAGGGTCAACCTAAGTCTGAAATGACTTGAAAGCACACAGCAACAACCACCACCACAACAACAACCCTATCTCATCAGCCAAAAGCAGGTCCACACTTCCCACTGAAATACTAATAAGTTTATATTTGTTAAAAACAATACAATAATTAAAATGAAGAACAATTTTAAGTGTTTTTGCACTACAAGTAAAATATGTGCAATGTGCATAGGAATTCATTCATGGTTTTTTCAAATTATAATTCGGCCCTCCAACAGTTTGAGGGACTGTGACCTGGTCCTCTGTTTAAAAACTTTGAGGACCCTTGACCCAAAGAATGCATGATTTGTGGCAGAAGAGTATTCCACTTATCACTTAATTCACCAATGCAATAAAGCAGTGATAGGACCTCACAACCTCTGAGGAAGCTTGCCATAGATGCAGGCAAAATGTCATGAGAGAATGCTTCTAGAACAATGCCTTGCAGCCCAAAAAAAACCTACAGCAACCCAGTGATTCTAACCATGAAAGCCTTTGACAATACAGTGATAGGAAACCTTACCAGGCCAATTAGATTAGACACAGATGACCAAGATGATTTTAAACAGTATATTTTAATACTGAGACAAATGTTTTTAATGTTTATGTATGCATATAATGAATTCATGTCCCGGAATTGAATGTTTGTCATTTGTATGTTGTGCTCCACCCTGAGTCCTCTTCAGGGTGAGAAGGGCATAATATAAATATTTTAAATAAATAAATAATTTCCCCCATTCCTTTAGAGTCCCATAAATGGATTGTTAACATGGTTTGCATATTTCTCCTTTTAATGTTTGTTTTCATTTTTTTAGATTGATGAATTCTAACTCATTTACGATTATACGGGATGATGCCTTTGGTGGTCTTTTCCATTTAGAATACCTGTAAGTCTACTTTTAAATTATTTACTTATTCTATTTATTGTGTCTGAAGTGAGTTGAGGTATAGTTAGAATGTAAAAACACAAACAAAGTTAAAAACTTGGCATTATACTAAATGTCCTTTGAGCAGAAGCTGGCCTCTGGTGTCACTGTGAGAAGGTCCTCCATTGTACATGTTGCAGGGCTCAGGTTGCATTGTAATAGGTGGTCTGTGGTGTGCTCTTCTCCACACCCGCATATTGTGAACTCCACTTTGTAGCCCCATTTCTGAAGATTGGCTCTGTTCCTCATGGTGCCAGAGTGCAGTCTGTTCAGCACCTTCCAAGTCACCCAGTCTTCTGTGTGTCCAGGAGGTAGTTTCTCAGCAGGTATCAGCCACTGATTGAGGTTCCAGCTTTTTGCCTGCCACTTTTGGACTCTCGCTTGCTGAGGTGTGCATGCAAGTATCTCTGTAGATCTTAGAAAGTAATATTAGATATTAGAGGTAAAGTTGAAGTACTTTGGTCACATAATAGGAAGACAGGAAAGCTTGGAGAACATAATGATGCTGGGGAAAATGAAAGGCAAAAGGAAGAGGGACCAACCAAGGGCAAGATGAATTGATGGTATTCTTGAAGTGAATGGCATGACCTCGAAGGAGTTGGGGTTGGCGATGGCTGACAGAGAGTCTGGCATGAACTGTTCCATTAGGTCATGAAGAGTCAGAAGCGACTGAACAAATAAACAATGACTTAGAAAGCTATTTCTTGATTTAAGGTGTTGGCTTGCTGGCTGATATCGGAACAGAGGATGATCCAGATATGTCACTGCCTTAGGCCTGTTACTTCTTGACTGATGTCAGGTGGTCCACCTAAACAGTATAATTTCTCCAGTGGACATCCTGTGATAATGCAACATGTCTCATTAAGAGCCACATCCACTGTTTTAGCATGGTGAGAGGTGTTCCACACTGAGCATGTGTATTCAGCAGCAGAGAAACAAAGCGCAGGGGCAGATATCTTCACTGTATCTGGTTGTGATCCCCAGTCAGCTTTTGTATGATATTATTTCTAGCGCCCACGTTTTGCTTGATAGTCAAGCAGTTCTTGTAAGTCAGTCAGAGCATGGCCCAGAGTAACTCCCAGGTATTTTGGTGTGTTGCAATGCTCCAGTGGGATTCCTTTCCAGGTAATCCCTAGAGCCCGAGATGCTTGTCTGTTCTTAAGGTGAAACACACACACCTGCATTTTAGAAGGATTAGGAATCAGCTGTTTATTTCCCTGTAATAGGCAGTAAGAGCAGCGAAAGCTTTGGAGAGCTTCTGTTCAACCATTTCAAAGCTCCCTGCTTGAGCAGTGATGGCACGATCATCAGCATAGATGAAATTCTCTGTCCCTTCTGGCAGTGGCTAATCATTTGTGTAAATGTTATACCTTGATGGATAAATGAATTAAAACCCTTCTGAAATGAACCTTCTCTGGCAATCTACTGAAAAAACTACTCACACTGAGCAATCTGTATTCTTTTTCTCAATGCATGTTATAACTCATGTGGCCAAGTCGGTGTGTGAAGGACATATTTACATTGTTACGCTCCACTGCAAATTGTGATGTGCAAATTAGGAACAAGTGGTATTTTCCATAAAATAATGCCTTCGCTAGAGAAACATTAGAAGATTTCACAAAGATTTGCAGCTTCAAGTAGAAAGTTGTGCAGTCAAGCTCATGTTTATCCCTCCTCGTGTGACTTACAATATGACCTTCAGCTCTTAATGCCTTTCACATTTTCTACAGAACTGGAGAAAGTGCACATAACTTGCAAAATGTATTTGATATTCTATCATGATTTAAAACATCGGGGTATTTCCAGATGAAGCTTTGATCCTGCAACCACCCTACCAGAAACATAATCTTACTCAATTCCTAAACCTCCTGTTCTTTCATCAGATTTTTTCTGTCTTCTTCCATACTAGGAAGATTTAACCATGCAGAAAAAGATAAAACAGCTAGCACTTCTCACCCCTAAAAGTAAAGGGCAGAGTTCCAAAGAATGACTTAAGTTCCATAACTTAAGGAAGGTTTTGAGAAACTTCTTTCAAAACAGGGTGGGTGGGTTCAAAAGCAGATGGTACCATAGCATCCTGTAAGGTGATATCTGCTGCTTTAGATATATATATACTAGCTTGGGCACCCGGCGGTGCCCGCGTTATTTGAGAAAGGCATTATTTATTTATTTATTTGGAGTGCTTCTACCCCGCCCTTCTCAACCCCCTAAGGGGGACTCAGGGCAGCTTAAAAAAGGCACAATTCGATGCCCAACAATTCACAAAATACAATATACAAATTACAATATAACGACAACAGTTATAACTAATTAAAGCAGTCAAATTAAACAATAGCAGCATTGTGTGCCAGCGTTGGTCTATGTGGCTCGCAGTGGTTTCGGGAAGTTAGTGAAGGTACTGTGAGTCCCATCATCCATAGTCCATCCTTCTCTAACAGCATCAGGATGTAGAGTGGGTCATGGGGGCTCTGTGTGCCAAGTGTGGTCTTGATCAGTCATTGAATGAGGGTCACAGCAGTCTCAGGAAGTGAGTGAAGGTACTTGAAGTCCCATCATCCGTGGTCCCTCCTCCTCCAAACTGCACGAGGATGTAGAGTAGCCCATGAGGGCTCTGTGTGCCAAGTTTGGTCTTGATCAGTCATTGGATGAGAGTCGCAGTGGTCTCTTAAAGTGAGTGATGGTACTGCAAGTCCCATCATCCATGGTCCCTCCTCCTCCAAACTGCACCAGGATGTAGAGTGGGTCATGGGGGCTCTGTGTGCCAAGTTTGGTCTTGATCAGTCATTGGATGAAGGTCGCAGCGGTCTCGAGAAGTGGATGAAGGTACTTCAAGTCCCATCATCCATGGTCTATCCTCTCGCAAACCTCACCAGGATGTAGAGTGGGCCATGGGGGCTCTGTGTGCCAAGTTTGGTCTTGATCTGTCATTGGTGGGGGCAACAGTGCTGTGTGGGAGCCAAAGCGTTTGAAAGTACTACAAATCCCGTAATAGTGGTCCACTTCCCCCAAACCACACCAGGATGTAAAGGGGTCACGAGGGTTATGTGTGCCAAGTTTGGTCCAGGTCCGTCACCTGTGCAGGTCACAGTGGCCTGTGAAAGTGGCAGCCAATCAGAAAGCTGCCACATACACCACCCTCCCTCCCTCCCTCCGCATACAAACACTGACACACACACAAACACATATATATTCTCTTGAGCATGTTCATACCTGTGGCCATGCCTAAAGTAGCACTCTGGATCGCTGCCAATGTGTTGATGATTAAGTACTGGCACTAAATTAATGATCTCATTCCAGCTATGATGTCTTATACTTGGATCCAATTAGAGAACACTTAAATCTTATGAACAATGTCACTGATCATACTGCAAAGCTCAATGATAATCAGTTAAATAAAGAATTCCTTCTTAAAAAGTGAACAATTTGACCATTAACATTATTGTTTTTTCCTGAATCCTCTTATGAGTTTTTTTTTTGCATTCTGAACAATGCCTCTTCCTTCTGTGCAATAGGAATAATAATAATAATAATAATAATAATAATAATAATAATAATTTGGATTTCTTTCCTGCCTCTCCTCGAGGTGAGGCCCAACACAGTTAAAAACACATAATTATAAAGCATGATGTAAAATACATATATTAAAATACACAAAACAAAGATTAAAATACAGTAAATGTAAGGCATGAGTTTAAAATTCATAATTAAAAATTGACCATTGAAAGGAGCAAATATGGATGACAGAGACATCTCCAACCCTTAATAATACTGCTCCATAATATAAGAAAAAGAAGAAAAGGCATTCTGATCTGTCGTGAATCTCTGTACAGTGTTGCCCCTCACCATGTTCACTTCTGTGGCCTTTTAGGTTCTGGTGTCTTCTGAGACACACTCTAGATGGCTTCTGTGTAGTGATGTTTTGATTGCACTTTAAATCAATGTCAATGTAGTGATGAATCCATGATGGGTTTTACTTCAAACTTAAGATACACTATCAAGTTGCTGAATCTTTGATAAAGTTCAGCACCCTGGCTAACTCATTTACAGTTGAGACAACCCAGAGCCGAGTCATCATCCAACTAGTACTGGAGCCTCCAAATAGCTCCTGATCCTAATCTTGATGTAAAACTCTTCCAGTGTTTGAACATCACAGAATGTCATTTTTTAAAGTTCTGTCTTCATCTGACTTAGTTTATCCTACCCCTAAAATCACCCTAGAGTTTATTTTAATAATTTTAAGGGTGTTTAAAGGTGCTTTTATTGATTAGAAAAGCTGGGGAGAAACATTTGAATAAATACATAATTTTAAATGCTACTGATTTAAAATAGCTCATAAAACAACAACAACAACAACAACAACAACAACAACAACAACAACAACAACACAATTCATTTATATTCCACCCTTCTCCCTGAGGGGACTCAGAGCAGATTACAGCATTTAGATACATAGACAAACATTCAATGCCTTTACAATCATATACAATGAGACATGCAAACACAAAGGCAGAGGCTTCTCCTTTCATTTCCGGTTATCACATTTTGTGATAATGCAGCATGTCTCATTAAGAGCCACATCCACTGTTTCAATGTGGTGAGATGTGTTCCACATAGAAGGGCGGAATATAAATAAAGCATATTATTATTATGCTGCAAGCCACATAGTAATGGTAATAATAATAATAATAATAATAATAATAATACACTTTATTTATATTCCGCCCTTCTCCCCTAGGGACTCAGAGCAGATTACAGCATTTACATACATAGGTAAACATTCAATGCCTTTTACAATCATATACAAATGAGACACACAAACACAAACAAAGGCAGAGGCTTCTCCTTTTATTTCCTGCTTCTGGAGGCAGTGCTCATCTCTGGCTCTGGAGAGGTGCTTTCCTCCATTTTCAAGCCGAGGAGCCTTCGTTGTCACCTCCTGGTTGTGTGTCCAGCAAGATTGCTTGGAACATCTCTTTGCCTTTTCCCACTGAAGCAGTACCTATTTATCTACTCACATTTGCCTATTTTCAAACTGCTACATTGGCAGGAGCTGGAACTGACAAACAGGAGCTCACCCTGTCTCGCAGATTTGAACTGCTAACATTTAGATCAGCAGTTCAGCCAACTTTCAGGTCAGCAGTTCAGCCCATTGCACCACCATGGCTCCTGGCAATAGGACATTGTAATGATTAGTTTAGGATCGTGGCTTACATTTATTTATTTATTTATTTATTTACGACATTTATATGCCGCACTTCTCACCCCGAAGGGGACTCAGAGTGGCTTACAAGGTATATATACATACAATATATTATATTATTAGCATGGTACAATATCAGTTTTAAATATTGCTATATTATGCTGTACCAATTATATTGTAATATTATTAGTAATATTACATGTAATATAAATATATAATTATAATATCATATTATTATTATTATTACTACTAGTAGTAGTATTATATTGCATTACATTATAATATTATAAATATTATATGTTTATACAATATATATTATATTATATTATATTATATTATATTATATTATATTATATTATATTATATTATTAGAATAGCATATGACTGGTTTTTGATAGTGTCTATGTGTGGTGCTGCTACCCTGAATTCAGAAGATGACTAATATAAATGTTTTAAAAATGACAAGTGCCATATAGACTCATGCATAAATTGACCTTTTGTATAAGTTGAGGGCAGGTTTTGGAGCTCACATTATGGATTTTGATATGACCCATGGATTTTGCAAAAAGGGGAAAGTGCCAGTGCTATTTAGGTTGATTCCTTTTAAAACAAGAGTACTTACAAGTAAGGCATAGTATTTACATTGATCCATGGTTGAATCAATTCAGATTTTTCTAGACTTACATATGAATGTCTATGGCAAATCAATATCGTTGCAGTCATTTATTTTGCATCCAATACCTCTTTAATATATAATCTCATATACCCGCCCCCTCCCCAATAAAGAGTAAGCATTTAATTTACAACACTGTGGTTAAAGCTGCATGGGAAAGTAGGAGGCATTCATTGGGCCAAAATGGCATGCAGTCCATATTGATTGAGAGACTCTCTGAAAGGCTTTAGTTCAGCAACATATACCCTTTGTGAAAGTGTGACTTTTAAATCAGAAGTAAAGAAGCAATTTTGCAGCCGATCCTCTGAAGCTCACATAGGACTCCTCTGTTACTCATAAGGGGTGGCTCCCAGTTGAAGAACTTTCATGTTGTCAATCAAATCACATCAGACATTTTTAAAAAGGAATAATTTTGTTCGCTTTGTAGTCCTCGGTTTTCTTTAATATATTTTGCCTTTTTATCTTCCTGAACTTCCTGCCTTTTTTCTATTTTTAAAATATGCTCTAAAATAATAACCCTCTTACTGTTCCCACATAGATTTATTGAAGGAAACAAAGTAGAGACTATTTCAAGAAATGCTTTTCGTGGTCTGCGAGACCTGACACACCTGTAAGTCCTGAAAGACTGATCAAAATGAATTTTAATTGTCATTAAATGATATTTTTGCTACTTACAATTAAGAGTAGGGATAATTAGAGAATGGTATTCAGTCATGCAATAAGTAGATAAGAAGGGAGCGTGCTAGCTCTATCCCCCAATGTCCCTGGTTCCATCACCATCCTTCCTGCATTCTGTGGTTCCAACTTATGTGGAGAAGCTCCATGGATAAAAGAGACTTTCAATGTCAGATATCATGCATAGGAAGTTACACAAGTAATACCAAAGGAGGTGGAGCAAGCACCTCACACTCCTTACATGTTTACTGAAAAACCTATGAACATCTGCACTATTTATTTATTATTATTTATGCAGGTTCGATTCCAGGGAGAGGCGTGAGCTTCCGCTGTCAGCCCTAGCTTCGGCCAACCTAGCAGTTCAAAAACATGCAAATGTGAGTAGATCAATAGGTACCGCTCTGGCGGGAAGGTAACGGCGCTCCATGCAGTCATGCCGGCCACATGACCTTGGAGGTGTCTAAAGACAACGTTGGCTCTTCGGCTTAGACATGGAGATGAGCACCACACCCCAGAGTCAGACATGACTGGACTTAATGTCAGGGGACTACCTTTACCTTTTTTACAGTATTTATACCCCACCCTTCTCACCCTGAAGGGGACTCAGAACACACATACGGCAAACATTCAATGCCGATTATACAATTAACAAGAACAGATAACACAAACAGAGGTAAAGGCGGTTTTCCCCATCTTATTTCCAGAATCTTGGAGGCTGTGGCCAATTAGTGGGGGGAGGGGGGGAGCGCTGTTGCTCCATCTTCCATGCTAAGGAGCTTTTCTTCCAATTGATGTCCTTTTATATGCACCTTTATTAAAGGTAAAGGTTTTTCCCTGACATTAAGTCCAGTCGTGTCTGACTCTGGGGTTTGGTGCTCATCTCTGTTTCTAAGCTGAAGAGTTGGCATTGTCCATAGACACCTCCAAGGTCATGTGGCTGGCATGACTGCATGGAGCACCGTTACCTTCCCACTGGAGAGATACCTGTTGATCTACTCACATTTGCATGTTTTCAAACTTCTAGTTGGCAGAAGCTGGGGCTAACAGTGGGAGCTCGCCCCACTCTCCAGATTAGAACTGGTGACTTTTTGGTCAGCAAGTTCAGCAGCTCAATGGTTTAACCCACTGCACCACTGGGGGTTCCTGCACTTTTATTACCTCCCAGCTAAATAGTGATACCTATTTTATCTACTTGCATATCTGCTTTCAACCTGCTAGGTGGACAGGTGAGCTGGGGCTAATGGTGGGTGCTCAACCTTGACCCAGGTTTGAACTGCCAATCTTCTGATCAGCAGAATTTTTCTGCAGCACAGCTGTTTAGCCTGCTGTGCTAAACCCGACCCCTGTATTTTTACAGGCAAGCTAATCAAATATGGGTTAAACAATGCTACCGCTAGGCGAATTTGTAACTAGTTGAAGGACCGAACCCTAAGAGTATTCACAAATGGTTCTCTTCACCCTGAAGTGACTAATGGGATGCCACAGAGTTGGGTCCTGGACCCATTGTTGTTCAACCAATTTATTAATCATTTGGATGTCAGAATAGGGTGCCTAATTGTCAAATTTGCAAATGATACCAAATATCGAGGGATAGATAGAGGACAGGATCAAAATTTAAAATGACTCCAGTAAATTGAAGAGTTGAGCAAAAACCCACAGAATGAAGTTCAACAAGGATAAATGCAGCAAGTATTGCAGCAAGGCAGGAAAAATGAAATGCACAAATATAGAATGGTCTTGACTTGGGAACAGTACATGCAAAAGAATCTAGAGGTCTTAGTAGTGATTGGGTGACTACTATTTCTTGGGAATGCTTTCCTGGGGTGTCCTGCATGGCAGGAGTTGGACTAGATGGCCCTTGTGATCCCTTCCAACCTATGATGTTATGATTCTACTTCTATGTTTGTACATTTTCACTGGGCCAGCCCTTCCATGAAGCAGAGTGAGGCAGCTGCTTTGGGCAGCGAATGCTCATGGTCAAAGAAAGGATAGAGCTGTTCTTTGGTTGCCTAATGTTAAATGTTTATTCAATGCCTTTTCAAAAAAGCCAAGCTTCTGTCTAATTTGATCTATAACTCTGATCTTGGGAAATGGCTATATGATAATTATGTAGGGCCTGTTTGTTATTTAGCATTCTGCTAGCCAATTTCTCATGAAAACAGGGAGGATTTGTTATTTTTGACCTTGAATCAAGCTCCAGTGAGGTACAGGTGGCCCAGAGGACTGAATAAATATACATATTTATAGTTCATTGTGTAAGACAGGTAATCAATTTATAAGTCATGTTAAACAACAAAAACACTGTCCAAAGTCTCTTTAGTTTTCTCTCTAAAGTAGACCCATTGAATCAATGGGATTTACAATTGAGTCACCATTCAGCAGCTGAGCCTGGTTGGGACTATTCATGGTAGTGACTATTTTTTATGAACTAAGTCAAACCACTTTGGATTCTCATTAACTTTAAATAGATGTTTTGCTTCAGTCATAATCCTATTATTCATTGTCAACACTGAAAACTGGGCGGCAGCCAGAACATTACATTAGCCGAATCTTGCTGTATCTAGTTATTATCACCTCTCCAACTATTTTAACATCTAACTTCACTTTTCCAGGTCTTTGGCCAATAACCAGATTAAAGCTCTGCCAAGAGATGTTTTCGGTGATTTAGATTCTCTGATTGAATTGTAAGTAAAGCTAAGTAAAACTATGTTTATTATTTGTAAGCCTACTTTTCTGTTTTAAAACCCAAATTTGGAATGCAGACTTGAATTAAGCTGGTATTTAAAATGAATGCATCTGTTGAAATGAGTTTTCTGGCAGACCTGACTCAAAGCTCAATTTGTAAATAGATGAGCCGGTAGGAAATTTTCCTTTACTTTGTTCTTTTTTAAAAATCAATTATTCTGACTATAGTAATGATAAACATGTAATAATACTCACAGAATTGGACCCACGCATGGTAGATTCTTTGAAATCAATGGGACAGTGGGTCTATTCAGTGTTGATTGAGTCTATATTAGTTAATCCTTTGTGTAAAGTTTGGGTTCAAATGACATTCTGCTAAATAAATGTATATAATTGATTGTTATGTGCATGTTGAGTTCTTTTTACCTAACTGCTCAAGACGTGATGGCCAACGGAAAAGCATAGGCCCTGACCACAACAGGTAGAACCAGGGATGCAAAAACAAGCTCCCAATCCAGGCTATATATGCTCTACTATTACATTTAAGTTTTTCTCAACATACATAATCTTATATTCCGAAGCAATGTTGGTTGTCGGCTCCCATTTCTATGGGGTGGTAAAGGCCTCATTCAGGCTTTGAAGGACCTCTCCAAGGTGCTGAACACTTATAGATTCACTCTCAGGCAGCAAAGACTGAATGGAAGCAGGCAGGTCCCTATACAAACAGGAGAAGTTACATCCTTAATTTTGCATTTTGTTAGCAATATGCCATATTGAATACAATGGGGCTTATTTCTAAAGAAGTGGGTACATGCATGAGATTGCATGGTAAATGAATTAATTTATCTTGATGTGACAAAGTCTATCCCTTGATTTCACCCACTTTTATAAAAAGTAAAATGTTGCGCTCCAGGCCTGGAAACATCTATGACCACCACACTACACAAGAGTCCAGGTATATAAGCAAACTGTTTATTGTAAAAATATACAGAAAGCATATAAAAAGTCAGGAATAAGAAAGGAAGATATATAATCCAAAAAGGTATATAAAGATATATAATCATTTAGAACATGGCCATATAGCCCGAAAAAACCCTACAACAACCCAATCCAAAAAGGTTTCACCACAGGTGATAACCAAACAATAATCCAAATGCTCATAAAGTTCCAGAGGTGACAAAATCCAGGAACAGCCAAAAATCATAGATACAGCATAAGTCCACAATCAAGAAGTTATAACTAGTACAGAAGTACATAGACAGGAACATAGAAAACTTCCATGATATATTAAATCTAAAATCAAAGTTTGTCTTGAACTGGGTCAGGTAAATTGTGATTTGATGTTTTATAATTTGGATATCTTCAGAAAAGACACTCGAGATGTACTTGCATCATCATATGTCCATAGTATTTTCAGTTTTGCATCTAATGCTTTTTGATAATAAAATATAAAACCAAAAAAAAGCTTATCTTAAACCAGGAACAAGAGAACTCAGGCTTAGCTTCTCACTCTAATGCAGCATTGCCTGAACTGACCTTAAGATAAAAAAAAAACTTGCTGTTTAATAGACACCCATGAAATCATTCAGTTTCCTGTGAATTTCCTTCACAACTTTCCCATGTAATCTCTCTGAATGGTGCAATCTATTTTTGGCTATGAATTGTAAACTTAGACTTTTGTTGATCTCCATAGCTACAGGTCTCCCATGTGAACCCTCCTTATCACTCAACTCTTCACTCAATTCCTTATCTGCTGTTGCTACTTCTGATTCCCCTGAATGCTCTCGAGGCCCTGCCCTTTCTGAGCCAGTTTTCTCACAGACAGAACCATCATTTCCCTGACTTGAATTTCCCAGACTTGATAACCCATCACTTTGTGTCACAGGAAAGTTCACAATCCTCTCTAAATCATCACTTAAACCATCAGCCTCTGGTGGGTGATCTACAACATAAAAGAGCAGCACAACAAATGACAAACCCAATTTTTGTTCCTTAGATATATTACAAAATCATCAGTATTGTTCCAAATGTAATCTCAAGCTTTTGAACCAATTCCATTTTAAATTGTTGGATTCTAGCGTGGATTTCACAATCTGATATAATTTTACATTCTGGCAAAATAAATCTGAGCCTAATGGGACTTTGACTTCCCATCAGGAGGTCTCGGGTGCCCATATCTTTTCCCTTCCAGGATGAGATTCATATGAGTTGAAGTATATGGAAGTTGAAGTATATGAAGTATATGAAATTGATGGGCATTAAGTATATGAAATTGAAGGAACTACATTAGAATGGGTGCATGTAAGGTCCTGTAGAGAAAACCTTCCTATTTTCTGCTGAGAAACTCAAAGCAAGGTGATAAGAATTAACCCTGTCTCAGTGGCTGCACACAAACTGTGGTTAGTGAAGTTTGGGTGACCTTTTCTGCAATTGTCTTCTATTGACAAACTGGATCCATTGAACAACCCTCAAAACAAAACACAACGTGTGGGCTTCTTGCCCTGTTTGGCAGATAATAGTTTAAATTTGGTCTATTTATGTCTTGTATTTGACATGAGATTCTGCTTTTATGACACTATTGTAATGCTAGTTGTCATTATGTACTAAGTAATAAGCATGCATTAGAAGATGGGCTCGAGATTGCTCATGTTCTCATGTTCAACAGCAAAGAGGTTTTCAGTCAAGAATTTTCCTCAACAAGCTTATTTTATATTTTGAGTGCAAACTAAATATTGTATAGGGGTTCCTTTTATTTTTATTTGGCTCATTCAAAAAGCAACCAGAAACAATATTGGCACCCTTTCCTAACTTAGTTCAATCTAGAGGTGTTGAGCTACCATTCTGATCATCACTAGACAACCTTCATCTCATAATCCTGCTGCAAAAAGAGACATGGGGTAACTTTACGATGTGACCCAGGAATAGAAAGCAGTTGTTAGGTAGAAAAATGACAGGAAGTGAAAGAGTTAAGTTTATCTCATATCCTTACCTCCCTCTCCCCCCAAAAAATCTTCCACTGCAGCCTTCAAGGTTGCTTTTTGGGATTTTTAGGAACAAGTAGAAAGCACACAGAGCTGAATGCTAAATGTTTCGTGATTTTCAGCCATGGATTTGAAAAGTGTAAGCAGTATAGGAATGCAGTGCTGAGTCATATCCATGTTTCCCGACTCTGCGCTGTAAGAGCTATCCGAAAGTCTTGTTTAAGCATTAATTTGAGTGCATGAAGGAGGGAGCAGCTGTTCCAAAAGCTACATTCAGCTGGAAACAGCAAGATTTTTTAGCTTAGGAAGAGATCTCTCTCAAAGAATTTGAAATCTATGTCTTTTCATGAGTAATTCAGACTGCATAGCTATAACAGTTTGATACCTCTTTTTTGTAATATAATAAGACAATGTGGTGCTGATTATGATTAAGGTAAGATTAATATAAGATGGTTCTTGTAGTTTGTTGAGGTCCTACAGTTCTGTGTCCAAATCTGCAATTTAAGGGAGATGTTGACAAGCTGGAATGTGTCCAGAGGAGGGTGACTAAAATGATCAAGGATCTGGAGACAAGCCCTATGAGGAACGGCTTAAAAAACTGGACATGTTTAGCCTGCAGAAGAGAAGGCTGAGAGGAGTCACAATGAGGGCCATGCATCAAGATGTGAGGGGGAGTCATAGGGAGGAGGGAGCAAGCTTGTTTTCTGCTGCCCTGGAGACTAGGACATGGAACAATGGCTTCAAACTACAGGAAAGGAGATTCCACCTGAACATTAGGAAGAACTTCCTAACTAAGAGCTGTTCAGCAATGGAACTCTCTGCCCTGGAGTGTGGTGGAGGCTCCTTCTTTGGAAGCTTGTAAACAGAAGTTGGATGGTCATCTGTCGGTGTACTCTGAATGCAATTTTCCTGCTTCTTGGCAGGGGGTTGAACTGGATGGCTCACGAGGTCTCTTCCAACTCTATGATTTTTTTTATTCTCTTTCTGAAAATGCTAGATGGCTCATGAAACTACAAATCTTAAGATTCCACAAAGTGGAAGCATAGTAGAATTTAAAAAATACAATAACGTATTATAAAAAGTAAATGAACCCCATTTTAATATCAGACCAACTTGAAGTCAAGTTGGAGAATGTGGACCTATTCAAATCTGTGTGGAGAGAGTGGGGAGCCCATTCTCAGATTAGCAAGCCCCAAATATTTGAAATACTAGCCCTGCCCTAAGACTGAGCTCAACAATGAGGCTGAGGTTGAAAGCCTGGTTTGTGCTGTAAATGAAAAGGCAGATGCTAGAATTTGCTCACATAATTCTGGCAAATCGGGCAGACTTTTGAACAATAACTGGAGTCTGAAGCAAAAATGGCTAGACCAGAGATTTTGCTGGTCATTTGACAACCCTGCCTTTCGCTAGTGTCACAAAGAGTTTTGGCTTCATTAGATTCTTTTAACAAGACCCAGAGCATTTGGCAAAGCCAAGAAAAAGAAAAGTAGAAATATGAGACTAGGTAACAAGGAGCCAGAATGGCAACAAGCCAGGAGAAGAGTATTGAGTACTGAAAGAAGGAACAGGCCAAAAGAATGAGAAGGAAGCGATGACCGATATTGGGGAGGGAGGGAGGAATGGACAGGACAGAAAGCTGTGCTTGGCTAGCAACAACAGAAGTGAAAATATATTGATTTGAAAGTACCAGCTACATCTTGGGCTGTAAGCATTTGGCAAAAAGTACTGAAAAGTCATAAATCAGTACTATAGATAGATAGATAGATAGATAGATAGATAGATAGATAGATAGATAGATGATAGATAGATAGATAGATAGATGATAGATAGATAATTTACTGATACTAATAGATCATCAGATATAACAACTATCTAGTTATCTTCATACTGCCGTATTGACATTCTTGATACAATATCCATAATAAGATGTGAAAATTGTATTTATGGGGCTGTTTCATGTTACATAATAATAGCCACATGATTCCATTTTAACTTCCATGGTGACATCCTGGGAATTGTAGTTTTAGGGAGGCAGCAGAGCTCTCTGCTTGGGGATTCTAAATATCTCTCTGTAAAACTGCAAATTCCAGGATTCCCTCAGATTGAACTATGGGAGTTAAAAGCTACAATTGTGTAGTATGGATGAGTGCCAGATGGCAAAATCACTTCACCACAATGGTTGGTTGTTGTTTTTTATTTTAATTACTAAGGGCTCAAATAAAACCTTCTTGTACTCAAAGAAAAAAAATATGTGAACCTATTTCATTACTGTGATGTTCTTGGGTGACCTCTGGTTCTCTTATGATATGCCTCCTTCTTTCTTTGGACCTTTCACTTGTAGCACTAGTCTGATAACTATCAGGAAACACAATATTAACCATTTACATGTGCCCCCAAGGCCCATCCCGGAGAGTCGTCCCAGGAGGATACCATGGTCGATGGTATCGAAAGCCACTGAGATATCCAAGAGAACCAGCAGGGTCACACTCCCCCTGTTCAGCTCCCTACGGAGGTCATCCACCAAGGTGACCAAAGCTGTCTCGGTACCGTGACCAGGCCTGAAGCCAGACTATGACTAGTCCAGATAGTTGATGTCATCTAGGAATCCCTGGAGCTGAGAGGCAACCACCCGCTCCAGCACCTTCCCCAAAAAGGGAGGTTGGAGATTGGCCTGTAGTTGCTCAAGACCGTGGAGTCAAGGAGGGCCTTTTTCAGGAGTGGTCTAACCACAGTCTGTTTCAAAGCAGATGGAAATGTCCCCTGCTCCAACGATGCATTAATGATAAACATAAACCAATCAATCAACCCACCTCTAGCCGATTTAATTAGCCAAGAAGGGCAAGGGTCCAGAGCAGACGTGGTCGCCCTCACAGCCCCAAGGACCCCCTCCACAATGTATCATTTAGTATCTTAAAGTTTTGTATGTCACTGTCCACTTCTGAATTCCTTATTTCCTCATCTCGCATTGTTCCATGGCATCAACTTATTGGGGATCCTGCCCAAAATGTGAGGTCAATCTGCAGGATAAAATGTACATTTGGTTCCAGTGTATAACCCACCCCACAAGGTGCTGAAACTGTAAAATCACCCTGGTGAAGAGGAAGGAAGGCAAGCTAAAGGAACTGTCCAAGGTGCTGAAGTCTATAGGTTCTGCATCTTGGAGAGCTCTTTTTGAAGTTATCCAGCACTTAGAAAAGATTTGCTGTCCCGTTGATATGAAAGCCATCAGCAGGCTGCCACTGATATAACCATTACAGTAACCAATGGGATACTCTGTCATGTACTATATCGTCCTTATTATCTGAGGGACGCATGTAGGGACACCATTTGTAGCCTCCCCACTTTTTGATCTCAATTTTGTTCAACTTATAACTTCTGAGGATGCCTGCCATAGATGCAGGAGAAACTTCAGAAGAGAATGCTTATAGAACATGGCCATACAGCCCGAAAAACCTACAACAACCCAATTGTTCAGTTGTTTTTCAAATTAAATTATGCAAACAACTTTAAGAAAATGCTGGGCTTTTGTCTCAATTACAATCTTTTCAACTCTTATTCTTGAGACCTTGATCCATATCCTGTATTTCTTTTGTTCTGTGTTTCTCTTCAGAGATTTAAGGGGAAATAAGTTTGAGTGTGACTGCAGAGCCAAATGGTTGTTTTTGTGGTTAAAGATGACCAATTCTTCAGTTTCTGATGTCCTGTGTGTTAGTCCAGAAGAATTTCAAGACAAGATGTTAAATGATGTCTCAAGTTTTGATGATGAATGTACAACTACAGGTATTTTAGAAAGAATATTTTACTACATAGAAATAATGATGAAGGTGTAAACCCAAATACTGATAAAAAATATTGTACCTGATAATGTCTTTCCAGAATCCTTTGTTCTGATAGAATTATAGCAATTCCCCTATTGTTAATTTTTAGTTACCACATTATTCTTTACATGTGTGTTGATAACGGATTAATCAAAAACAAATTGTTCTTGGAGGACCCACTCTATTAATAAAATATTGGCCAGGATTCTACACAGCTACTTAGTTGAGTATACAAAGCAAAACATACATATAAAAAATGACCACTAACAAAGTAGAAAAAATATGGCTTACAACTACCTTTTTCACAGTTACAGTATATTTTAGCTCTTACTATCCCATTTCTTTCTACTTTATCATCAAGTTACACTTCATCTATACATTTATCTCATACTAATTCATAGGGAGCCACAGTGGTGCAAGGAGTTAAACTGCTGAGCTGCTGAACTTATTGACTGGAAGGTTCACGGTTTGAATGTGCGGGACGGACTGAGCTCCCATTGTTAGCCCCAGCTTCTGCCAACCTAGTAGTTCGAAAACATGCAAATGTGAGTAGGTAAATAAGTACTGCTCAGGCAGGAAGGTAACAGCACTCCATGCAGTCATGCTGGCCTCATGACCTAGGAGGTGTCTACGATCAACGCTTGCTCTTCAGCTTAGAAATGGAGATGAGCACACCCCTCAGAGTTGGACTTGACTAGACAATGTCAAGGGGAAACATTTAGCTTTACTTCACAAAACCAACAATTGTCTTAATCCCCTGTCCCCACAAATGTCAATCAAGGATTTCCAGTTTTCCGAAACATTATTAATGATGTTTACTTAATCAAAGTAGATGATTTTTTCATTTCAGTGAAATGATTCAATTTTAATAGGCTATAAGACATTCTCAATTTTTGAGTGAATAATATTCTGTCTGCTGTTGTTTTCAGTGTTTTTCCATAGCTCCTTTCTAGTTACTCATCCATCAGTCCCAAAAGAAAGAGTTTGGGTTTTAACCGGATATTGATATTTTTTAAAAAGCACCAAATTTGAATCCATTTTTAAACCTTTTCACAAGTTACTGTCTTTTACATTGAACCCACCTGGTAAAATGGCAATAATATTAATAATAAGTAAAGTAAAGGTTTCCCCTTGACATTAAGTCTAGTCGAGTCCAACTCTGGGGGTGGTGCTCATCTCCATTTCTAAGCCGAAGAGCCGGCATCGTCCATAGACGCCTCCAAGATCATGAAACTGGCATGAATGCATGCAATGCTGTTACCTTCCCACCAAAGCAGTACCAATTGATCTACTCGCATTTGCATGTTTTTGAAATGCTAGGTTGGCAGAAGCTGGAGCTAACAATGGGAGCTCACCCCATTCTGCAGATTTGAACCGCCGACCTTCTGGTCAGCAAGTTCTGCATCTTAGCCATTTAACCTGCTACACCACTGCGCCCCGTAATATCAATAATATTGACTCATTTTTACTTAAATTTTTACTGGGAATGTAGGGAAAACACAATATAAATGCTAGAAAATATGGTGACATTTTTCTTGATACGTTAGAACAGAGGTTTTTAACTTTGAGAAGAGGGCAAATTATGCCCCCCCCCCCGACAATCTGATAAAGCTATGAACACCCTTTCCAGAAAAGTGTACTTAAACACAATTTCCGAAGTAAGTGCCTTTATAGACTCTCTGGGATTCCTTGCGCCTCAGGTTAAGAGGCCCTGCATTAAACAGTGCTTTGTCATGTTTGGGTGGTTGAAAACTTGTCCAATCTTTGCTTGAAGGCTTTTTAGACATTGCAGTAACAAATGCAATAAAGCAAGGTAGCTTGGAGATTTTCCAATCTCACAGTTGTTACTTGATCAGAACAACAACAGGGGAAAAATAGTTGGTGCTTCAAAATGGATAAAATCAGCAAAATGTGCTCTAGTTTTCAAAATAGCAGCAAGAAAAGGAAAGTGCTGAGAAAGCAGAACAATGCCATTAGTGAGGGAACAATCTTATTGCCTACCTCTAGAATGGATATGTGATTTTTCCGACAGCATGAAGTAGAATATTTTGGAGTCCATGCCGTGAAACAAATTGCTGAGATGCCCTCCTTTGCCACTGACTTCTGTCAGTTTGGAACAAATTGGAAATATCATTTAATCTTCTCTCTATTAGCTTTTCTTCCCTTCCTTGTTCTTAACACAGTATAGGATAAACTGAATGTCTGGTCACTCATGCACCTTCAGTAAATTAGTTCAGAATTACCCAATATAGTCCCAAAGAAAGATGTAGAGCTTGAGAGTGCCATTGAAGACATTATTGAAACCACTTTTAAATTGGGTTGTTGTAGGTTTTTTGGGCTGCATGGCCATGTTCTAGAAGCATTCTCTCCTGACATTTTGCCTGCGTCTGTAGCAGGCATCCTCAGAGGTTGTGAGGTCTGCTGGAAACTTGGAAACTTGGGTTTATATATCTGTGGAAAGTCCCGGGTGGGAGAAAGAACTCTTGTCTATTGGAGCTAGGTGTGAATGTTTCAATTGGCCACCTTGATTAGCATTTAATGGCCTGACAATTTTTAGGTGTGGCTTGTTACTGCCTGGGAGAATCCTTTGTTGAGAGGTGATTAGCTGTTCCTGATTGTTTCTTGTCTGGAGTTCTCCTGTCAGGCCATCAAATGCTAACCAAGGTGGCCAGTTGAAACATTCACTCCTAACTCCAACAGATAAGAGTTCTTTCTCCCACTCTGGAGTTTCCACAGGTATATAAACCCAATTTTCCTAGTTTCCAGCAGACCTCACAATCTCTGAGGATGCATGCCAAAGATGCAGGTGAAACATCAGGAGAGAATGCTTCTAGAACATGGCCATACAGCCCAAAAAACCTACAACAACCCAGTGATTCTGGCCATGAAAGCCTTCGACAATACACTTTTAAATTGTACACATCCCACTGCAATTGCCAATTAAGTTGAGCAAGATAGAAGAGGTGGTGGCATCTGTTCCTTTTTTTGCTCTCAGATTTTACTGCTGCTCCTCAGAAATGTATGTCTCACGCAAAGCAGGGGTGATTTAAATCACTGCTTCTTAAACAACTCAGTGTTGGAATCCAAAAATTTTTCAGTAAAAGTTTTCTGAATGCCACCTAGTGGCTGTTTTTCGACATTTACATGAATTTGTTGTGCAGTGTTCTTCCTAAAAGGGAAAATCTGCCTGTTGACAAACCTTGCAAATGCTGGTTTAGTAACAGTAAATGTTTGGTTTTTATATCTATTTTACATACCTATGTTGCTTAGGTCATGTCAAAAATTCACAGACCAAAAGGGGTTGCAAGTGGATAAAGTTTAAGTAGCCCTGATTAAATCACAAAAATGGGCATAAGAAGGTGAAAGTGCTAAACTTTTACACCATCTACTGCACCCCTCAAAAAAGAAAAAAAAAGAAAAACTGACACCAAAGCAAGTAAGTAAGAAACCAGGAACTCATGTAGTTTCTTTCATGTTTTCTGCTGTGTTGAATTGTAATGTGTGTTTTTTCCCCCAATTAACTATGTGATTTCAGATTTTGTGGTTCATCAGATTTTACCCTATGAGTCCGTTTCAGTTGACACATTCCACTCAAAAAATGATGTGTATGTAGCCATTGCTCAACCCAGCATGGAAAATTGCATGGTATTAGAATGGGATCACATTGAGAAGAACTTCAGGAGTTATGACAACATTACTGGTAAAAACAAATAACTTGTCTTTTTTGTATTAGTGCTCAATTGCTTAAAATTTCTGCTGCCAGCATTTTATTTTAAAAAATTGTATCAGGAAAATCAATAGTAGGAAATGGTCAGAGTTGCACTGGGGAACTACAACATGTTTCTCCCTGCTCTAATGTGAGCAAGATATATTGGGGGAACAGCAACCAATTTCTATTAGATCTATTTGTACTAAAATTATTGCAAAGAATTAGGAACTTGTTAGATGCTGTTTTCATCTTTTCAGAAGAACAAGTGTATATACCCAATTCAAACAGTTTACTAATGTCTTCATAACTAAGAGAACATAAGTATGTACATCATAGTGACTCAGGGGCAAATGCAAAAAACTGCAGTTTGGGCCACTTACTTAAAGGGATTAAGCAATCATTTAGAAAAATCAATTGCACACATTATGTCCAGGGATATCATAAGGGCTATATATAGCAGTGGTTCCCAATCTTTTTTGACCAGGGACTACTTGACTAGGAGCCACTTTGACCAAGGACCACTCTCCGACATTAGTACCAAAAGAGTTATGAATCAGTTTTTGGTCCACTTTAGATTCGGTTTGGTTGTTTGGAGTGCTGATTCAGAAAATTGCATTGGATAGACCACATCAGCTCTAGTTTCTGATACAAAACATATGCCATCCAGTAGTTGCCATCTGCTTGCCCACACAAAACCATATTTAATCATCTAGAGGTGATGTGGTCTATCCAATGCAATTTTCTGAATCAGCACCCCAAATAATCCCAGGAACAGGTTTAAAAATGAAGACACCAAGGTGCCCCTGCTTTCAGGTGCCACATGTAATGGCTCCACTCAGGGGAGGGAGGAGGAGGAGAAGCAGCAGTCAGGAGGCTTGTTGATGCACTTTTCCTGGGTAGTCAGCCTCTCCCCTCCTGACATCCCCATTGCCTCGGCACTATAAGAGGGTTTCACGAGACCAGTTGCTTTCGTTGCAACGGTGTAGTAACGGTGAGTGCGTGGACTGTATTTTAGTTTTTGGGGACCCCTGTTAGTCCACAGACCACAGGTTGGGAACCACCGCTCTATAGGATGGGGTAGGGGTGGAAGATGACAAAATGAAGGCATTCCCTTCCCAGTGGAAACTGTCCTTTTACAAATGACATTTACCTTCTGTTCCAAAATATTTATCAATAACATCTAGAACTGTTGTATTTGCTGCATTTTTATAACCTTTGTAATGTTGCCTGTCTGTTTACTTTGAATGTGTAAACTTTATTTTTAATGTTCAACTGACAGTTTAAAATACTTCAATGCTATACATTTTAGGATTCAAGGAATTCTTTAGGAATATAATTCTTATTTTTTGAGGGGAACCAGTAGTGTCCTTCTGTGTGGTAACTTATGGGGTCACTTCTCTGGACAAATCTCCAGTACCAGACCATATTATAATATCAGAATATATGTACTTCCACCCCTCCTTCATCCTAAGATAGTGTATGTGTGAGAGCATATGCACACACACAGTGCCCAGTGGTTTTTTAATTCATGATGCTGCCCAGAGATTGCAGCCAAAACAGCAGCATCAAGATACAGGAAGCCTGTTAAGTTAGAACTGGAAATTCAGAAATTAGGGTTAACCCATTCTTCAATATGGAATATATTTCCCAGCAATCAGAATCACAAATTAAACTCATATTTAGCTTCACAAATGAAAGCATGCCATACAGAAGTATGTGCTTTGAAATACAGAGAGAAAAACATAAGTGGATATAACCAGAGTAAAAAGCCATTTCAGCTGCTAGGGGACCAGATGGATGTAAAGCAAGGAGAGGTAGAGAAACTTGCTAGTGAAACTGAGAAAAAGGTGTTTTTTTAAAAAAAATCTATTGTTTAAAGAAAAGAGGGAGATGTCAAAGAGGAGAAGATGACAAGGGAAATACTGTTGAAATATGGGGCAGGGTAAGAGTGGATTAAATCACTGTAAAGAAATCCAGTTGAGAGGGGATGGTCAGTTGTTGTGATTACTTGGCTGCCTTCCCTCCCAATTTGTGCACATCGCTCCCAACCTCCATGGTTGGTGTCACCCCTTCTGATCATGTCACCTGGTACAACCAGCACTCTCTGCATCCCTCCAGTGATGCCACTGGGCAAAACCTTCACCTTGGCCCTCCTGCCATAGCTATGCTCCTGGCACTTGGGTGGTGAAGATATTACAATGGCACAAGTTTAGTTTAAACCACCAATGAATGAAGTATGAACGTATCCTATGTGTCTGTGTGTATCTGTATCTATATCTATATCTATCTATATCTATATCTATATCTATCTATCTCAGAGATATTAAACCTTCTTCCCACCCCATCCTATAAGGATGTAGCAGTCAGAAAAGCATTAAATGGGCCTGTGGACATGACAAAGAACAATAAGTTTACTTTTTATTGACTCTCTATTGAGTGCTTTGCACTTAAAGTAACTGAAGTGATATAGAACGCATTCCCATTGAGGTGGGCATCCTGTACAAGCATTACTAGAGTCTAAAATTATCTAATGGTGAAGTTAGATAATTAAATAGATAATTACATAGTGCCTAAGAAGTTAGATAATTAAATAGTGCCTAAGAAGTGCACGAACACAGTATCGGTAGCTTAAACATGTTTTTAAGAAATGGGAAATCAATTCCCGTTTCACCTTGTTTGATTGACTAACATGTGAAAAATAAATCTGTTAGATGCATCTGCTCATTAGGTAGGAATACAGCTGTCCTCCCCATGAAAGTGTATAAGGAATGGGATGCCACTGCTGTGGTCTGTAGAATGGGTACGCTACCTGCCATGGTCCCAGGAAAAGTGGAGGAGGATCCCGTCCTTCATACCACTTCATTTACAGTGTGGATCCTGGATTATTTTCTTCTTCCTACATGCTGTGAGTGTTTGCTTTACCAGGGAGATATCAGATGGAACGGAAATATGTGACAAACAAGAAGAGGAGGAACTAACCTCACGTGCCCCTGTAATGTCACTTACCCAGTGAATCTGGTTTCTCCTGCTCTTCTTGTGTGAATTGTATTTCTCTCCCCCACCCCCTGCTGTACCTTCCTTCATTTTTCTGGGTATAGCACTTATTCATGGTACATAGGATGAGTCAGACCTGCAGGATAAGTGAAGTGGCACATGAGGCTGGCTCCTTCTCTTCCTGCTTGCCATGAATGTCTGTTTTGTCTGGGAAAAGGAAGTTAGGTACTGGGAAAAATGTAAATACATGGTACACCCACTTCTTGAACACCCCCCCCCCACACACACACACATACAGACGCACACCTCCTGAGGGCAGGGCTGCCATGTGAATATTCACACAGCAGCCCCAACTTTGGGAAGTAGAGGTGACAGCACAAGCTCAAAAATAATAAAAACCATGGATGTGAAGATGGAGGGATTTCTCCTCTCTCTTTCTCCTACTGTCACCACCTACAACGATATGTATTGTTTTCTACTTTCAGGTAGAGGAAACAATCCTCTTCCACTTCACACCCGGAAGATCAAAACAGATTTTCAAGTTACCAGTTGTTAGCTAATAAATGACAATGTGACACTTACTTAGCTGCATCTGGCTGCATTATAATAAACAGACCCATTAGCATGCTTGAAACTGCTCCAGCTCAGCAGAATGTCTCATCCTCATGGAAACACTGCTGCCAGGATATCTGTGCTAAAGCTAGACCAGATTTTTAAAAATGTCTTTATTGGACTTTGAAAGAAAACTTGCGATAGAACAATGGGAAACACAATTATATTCTGGCAGGATCGGTGCCTTATTCACATGCACCTTCAGGACCTTCTCAGAATGAGGCAGAAAAGAAGAAACTAGATTTTTTTCAGGGCATCTTCTCATAGGGTTAGCTGGGCTAAAGCATCTGAGGGGAAATTATGCATCGGAAAGTATGGCCAAAGACCAAGATTTTAGAATCTGATCTCCTGCAACATTTGAGGATTCATGTTTGGGAATCAACAGTCGAGCTTCAGACATTTGCTCAGAGATTGGTTTTAATGTTTTTCTGGCTAACAGGCTATCATACCAACATTGATGCGGTGATAGTATTAACCTTACACATTTATATCTTTTTATTACTATCTTTGGAAACAGAATGTTTTTGCATCAATGCCCAGTCAAAAAACCCTATGTCTGAAAGGAATCATACTGTTTTGTGTAGAAGAAAGATAATTATATCCAACGAAAAGTTTTCTCTTGTCTATTTTTCTATCTCACTTTGGATGTAGCTATTCTTAGAGCTACATTCACTTCCTATAACAAGAGTTCTCTTTCATCTCTGCCAGACAAGCAACAACTCTGGCATCGCACCTTAACTCACTGTTGTTATCTTAGAATGAGTTACTGTAGCAGAAGCCTTTCTTTATTTATCCTAAGTTGCTCTTTGGTGTCTTAAACATACCTGGCAGTGGTTCCCAACCTTTTTTTTGACCAGGGACCACTTTGACCAGGGACCATTCTCCAACATTAGGACCAAAAGAGTTACAAATCAGTTTTTGGTTAACTTTATATTTAGTTTGGTTATTTGGGATGCTGATTCAGAAAATTGTATTGGATAGACCACATGAGCTCTAGTTTCTGATACAGAACATATGCCATCCAGTAGTCGCCATCTGCTCATCCACATATTTAATAATCTAGAGCTGATTTGTTAGTAGTAATCTTTCATGGGTAATCAGTCTCTTCCCTCCCAACACCCCCATTGCCTCAGCATTATAACAGGGTTTCAAAAGACCTGTCGCTCTCATTACTGCATGGTTTGAAGGCAACAGTGTAGTAATGGTGAGGCCATGGAACATGTTTTTGTTCTTGTGGACCACTGGGGGTCCACCCACCACAGGTTGGGCACCACTGCCTTATGGACTGCATCCTCTTTTATAAAAAGTATGTTCAAAACAATGAAAGTTAGTCAGTATTTTGACTCAAAGGCTTTACTTCTCCTGTTGTGTTCTGCTAATATTCTTGTTTTCTTTGCACCAACAGGTCAGTCCATAGTGGGATGCAAAGCAATCTTGATTGAGGATCAAGTTTTTGTGGTGGTTGCTCAACTTTTTGGTGGCTCACACATTTACAAGTATGAGGAAAACTGGACAAAATTTGTCAAGTTCCAAGACATAGAAGTCTCCCGCATTTCAAAGCCAAATGATATAGAGCTCTTTCAGATAGAGAGTGAAACCTTCTTTGTCATCGCAGATAGCTCGAAAGCTGGGTTAACAACCATTTATAAATGGAACAACAAGGGATTCTATTCTTACCAATCCCTGCACGAATGGTTTCGGGACACAGACGCTGAGTTTGTTGATATAGATGGAAAATCTCATCTGATCTTGTCAAGCCGCTCACAGATTCCCATTATCCTTCAATGGAACAAAAATTCCAAAAAGTTTCTCCCACACAGTGAGATCCCCAACATGGAAGACGTGTTGGCTGTGAAAAGCTTTCGAATAGAAGATACCCTCTACATCACACTCACAAGATTTATTGGTGACTCAAGAGTAATGAAGTGGAATAGCAAACAATTTGTGGAGATTCAGGCTCTTCCTTCTCGGGGAGCCATGACCCTTCAGCCTTTCGCCTTTAAGAGTCATCATTACCTAGCCTTGGGAAGTGACTACACTTTCTCCCAAATTTTCCAGTGGGATGAGGAGAAGAAGCTCTTTAAAATATTTAAGGAGATCTACGTGCAGGCGCCTCGCTCGTTCACAGCTGTGTCAACAGATAGAAGAGATTTTTTCTTTGCTTCTAGTTTTAAAGGCCACACACAAATATTTGAACACATCACTGTTGATTTGAGTTTATGAAGAAGCTCTGGGAGCGGGAAATTCATACATAATGACATTTTCATATTTTAAAACAAGCAGAAAAAAAGATCATTCACTTCTTGAAAACAGGAAGTAGCCATGGTATTAGTCAGAAGTTTTCTGAATTTTTTAGAAGTTTGCATATTTAATCAGGGATTGCATTAACTTGGATCTAACTGCATGCCCACATTACCATTGGTAAAGATACTTTAAGACCTATTATTACCCAGAGAGGGAATGCGATGCATTAAAAACAATTCTAACAAATCTAAAAGAATGGTGTAAAATTGAGGAAAGAAAACCAGAAGAGATAGGACAGGCCCACACATTAAATTAAAGAGGAGCAAAAACTATTTCTTTGAGCCAAGCTTTCCAGAACTGGAATGTAATAAGTGACTCTACACACTTGATTGTCATGTCTAAAAGTGACAACAAAGAAAAAAATGTCTATCAAGTTCACAAGTGTGGAAATCAGCCCTTGGCATTGCATCAGGAAATGAAAACAGCTCTATTTGTTGGCTTTTGGGGTGGCCATTGCTAGAGTCATATCATGGTCCCTATGTCATCCATGCATGATTGGTTGCCAATCCACACTGAGTTTCCAAGAGAGAAACAGTTGTCACCAGTGGGAAGAACTGTGGTATCGGCCACTAGGACACTAGAGTAAAATAACTGCCAGTAGTCAGATAGCTGAGGAACACTTCTGTAGAGCGCAATAGGGAATTCTGATTTTTTGAAGTTGATTATGTTTGTTAAAATTTGCCTGCCTAATCTGGTTTAAGGAAAGGGTAAACAGTATGCATGTGACACGTTCCCTAAAATTCTCATCAAGGTGGCTACCTCATGGCAGACCTTCAGTGAATGTGATCAAACTCTAAACCAATCCAGTTAATAGTCAGCCAGCCTCTGTTCATATAGTGATTTTCATGGCCTAAACGTAGTCAAGGCAAGGCATATGTCTTGCTGTCAGAGTTTAGCAAAGAAACACGACAAGTGACAACATTTTGCTACTGCAGTTGTTTCATCAGCTCTTCCCTCAGATGGCCTCAGTGCTAACCATAAACATTTCTAAATGCCATGGAAGGGAATGATTCACTTGTTTAATGCTGCTATTGAAAGATGTGAGAATGTATAGTCCTTAACTTTGTTTGGATCACGAACCATTAATTCTGCTTTATCTGATTAATTTTGATGTGGGGTTTGGTACTTTTTATGCTATGGGTCAACTTGAGTCTTCTTTGCTTTGTTTATCTGTTTTATTCACTCCATGCAAAATCTGAATGAACTTCTCATTTCGGTTATGATTCGGCAATTTGGTTGGACCTAATGTGCAAATGGGAATATTATAGGCAACAACAAGTTTAGCTTCAAATTATTAAGTATTTCTAAATGACAATGAGCTGTGTGTGCATCTAGCTCTCAATACAAATAGAAATTTTAAAAATTATTCCACCATTTCATAGTTTCAGGATTGCTCCCCACCTCCCACCCCAGTTAGCAATAACTATTTCCCCTTTGGGAGGGGGGGGCATGTCTACAGATGGAATAGGGACACTAAGATGACAATAATGACAGCAGAAAGCACATTAACTTGTAATCCAGTGTATAGACCACACTGTATTTTAATTCTTTTATCATATATATCATTTTGTACTTCCTAGGACTGAAACAATTCAGAAAGAAAATCTAATTTCCAAGAAATTTATTTTCCTTTGAGGTTCTTGTGAAAACATTTACAACACTTATCACAATATAGCTGAGTGTTTAGGATCCCCTTCTTTGTTCCTGAGAGCCAAATTGCCCAGGTAATGATATAAGCATGGCAGGTTGAAACCTAGGGCATATCTACACTGACCCTTTAGATTGGTGTGTAATATGATCAGCTCTGTGGCAGCTAAATGCTACATGGGGGCTGATCCTGCTTAATGCAAGGAAAAGCAACTTATACAGCTTCTCACCTAGGTCAAGCCAACTCAGGGGAAAATGTGGCTCCTGAAGCAGGGGTCAGGTTCTCCTTTGAGTTAGGACTTGTCAAGGCAATGCAGCCAGTTCCTAAATAGAACCAGCTTCATGTCCCCTCCCAACCCCCCATGTTGTGTTTGGCTATTGCCATGACATATCACTTCATCACACAGGGCTTGGGTTTCATCCAAGAATGCTTACAGGACAGAGCTAGGATGGAGCCAGATGGAGCCCATCACATAACGCAGCGCTACTTCCACCCTGGAAGCATTGTAATCCAGAGCTCTGAGAACACAGGTAGGAAAGCTGGGGACAGCGCAGAGAGAAGCAGGGCAGTAACAGTTTCAGCAGTGTGATGGGAAAGGGGGCAATGTGGGGCGCGAGACAACAGTTTCCCCGACTGCCCACTGGATTTGCCCCACTCTGCCCTATAGACAATCTTGCTAGCACCTGTCTTAAGAACCCAAAGTGATGAGGTCAATGGGCACCTACATTACTCTTGAGGGTACACAGGCATTTTTGAGGTTCCCGTAACTTTAGAAGGAGGCTGGGAAGGGGAAGAGTGGGGAATTTCAGTGAACCTGGTAGATCCCCAAGAGTAAGGTAGGTGTCCATGTCATTGCTCTGACCAACCAAGGAGAGAAGTGACAGGTAGGTCCCCTGCCCAGAGACCTATCTGCCACAGGAAGGCTCAGGGAGTTTTTCAGGCTACAAAACAGGCCCAATCCAGCATCCAACACCAGACCGGGCCCATTTTATTGGTCAATGCAAAGGGCCTTTAAAAATGAACATGCAGTGAAATAGTTCACAATCTCACCTTCTTTTCTGGGTCCCTTTCTCCCACCTGCTTTAGCAAAGAGTCTTCATATTCTTCTCTGCCAGAGATGTGAGAAGATAATGGAGCAATGAGGAGCAATGAGGTCCTGGACAAAAGGGACAGAAAGCGCAGTGAAAGCAGGAACACTTCTTATTGCTAAAGATAACAGTGTGATCTTTGCCATGAAGCCTGCCAACTCTTAACTCATAGACATCAGAGCTGACAGTAGTGCCAACAAGGCATCAGATAAGGCATTCTTATTTTTTTCCCTGTCTCTCCTTAACAGACCTTTTCTTAAATTAGACTGAAGAAGTCTGTGTAGACTTGCATGCCAAGCTAGTTCTTCAGTCAAGCCATTTCTTCAGATGGCCCTTCTTCTATTGGTCTTTCTTCTGATATTGATAATATTTTATATAACATGTTTGCATTAAGTGAGCCAAAATTCTCTTTTATCCCTTACCTATTTGAGATGCACCAGCAAAGTGATAACTGATCACATTGGTGTTAAATGAAGCATGGGAAACGTTAGCAGCAGGTCACTCCAGGCAATCTAGCTGATGAAAAGCTCTGCTGATGCTGAAATGAAGCCGGCCCAGTGAATGATTCAAGAACCAAACTTTGTTCAGCAGGCTTTAAAAATAAATGTTACAGATGACAGAATGAATGCAGGTTGTGGCCTTCATTCATCATAACTAGAGTGGCATTGCCGTGTGTGGCTTTGTCATGGCTGGCTGGGAACAGGCTGTGTGTTTCGCCAAACAAGCCATGCGCTCTTCTTCTGTCCAGGTTACAAAACAAAATTGTCCTATAATAAAGCAATATAATGAATTTTCCTCAATGGAACAGAGTATAGACTTTATCCAGAAAGTAAACTTTACCTAGTCAGCTTGCTGTCTGTGGTCAGAGGCCACTCTCAGGGTTTTGATATAGCAATATTTGGCATGCTAGAGCAATAAGGTGATAGCCAAAATCCAAAGAAAATATGAAAGGATCTTGTGACACCTTGGAGACTTGTAGATACATTAGTATTTATGGATTCAAGTCCAATTGTGTCAGAGGCAGGCAGGAAAGGTTATTCTTAAATAAACATAGTAGTCTTTAAGGTACCCTGAGGTTCTTTCTTGTTCTTGCTGCATTAGGTGTAAAATGGCTACCCCTTCTATAATCTGAAGAAAATGATGCATACTTATGTCCCACTGGCATCAAGGAGACATATGCATTTCACTCCTCAGATCCATTTTTTCAGTGTCTTGCAGGCATATGCCATGATTGCTGGATGATGTACACCAGTGGTTCTCAACCTGTGGGTCCCCAGGTGTTTTGGCCTACAACTCCCAGAAATCCCAGCTATTAGGATTTATGGGAGTTGGAGGCCAAAACATCTGGGGATCCACAGGTTGAGAACCACTGGTGTACACTCTCCACCCAGCATCAATTCACTGTAAAATTCAGTTAAACATTCTCAGTAAGACAAAATCTGGAAGACACTACCAATAAGATAGTGGGCAAGAATCCCACTATCAACCAAGCTAGAGCTCTGAAACATTTACTGATTTCAATGTACCTGTTTTTGAAAAGGCAACAGCACGATCTGTTATAAGCATGAATGTTGACTTTTATGTTATAATGTGCAAAGTAAAACAGATCATGATATAATAAGTTTTAGGTAATATCATTAAAAGAAAGAGAATCCTCAGAAATGATCAAGTACATGGTGTGTGTTGGTTTTTCTCTCTTCCATAAAGCAGCTTCATATCTATGGTAGACTGGGTTTCGCTCCTTCCTTTCAATACTTAGAATCATAAAGTTGGAAGAAACCACAAGGACCATCCACAACCCCCCCCCCCCCACCATGCATTCTGATTCTTTTCTCCATCCCTCATGCACAACCATCATGTCATTCACACAACTACGTGACAAAGCTCAAAACGAAATATACTGTCTGAGACAAAGATCACCCACTGAGACTTTGAAACTGTACCTCTCTGTCCTAAACCCAACACCATTATAATGCACTGGCTTCATTTGGGCTGCATTGTGCCTCTGTTTGTAACATTCCTTTCAGAAGGGTTTCCCACATAAGAGGCAGACTGTATATGTAAACCACTAACTGTTCCATGTAATACATTTATAATTAAACTGCCTTTGGTGGACCACATATCTGATATGGTATACAACATCTTCCTGGAGACTGCAAGCATTTTTGGTGGGTACTGGTATCATAGTTTCATTAGGCCCAGGATGGATTACTACTCTCATCATTCCTTTGGTAAATGTTGGCTCATGCTGATAGGAGCTGCAGTCCAGCAACTTCTGGAGGGCACAATTTCCCACTCTTTGCATTGCCTCTTTTTATTGAGCCAAACATTCTTCCGGTTTGCTAAGGAATCCCTTATGAGTCCTGTGCAGTTAGATATGTGTGGGTTCACCTCTGACATCTAGCTGTGGCTCTTCCATTAGTATATGTCTCTTAGAAAGCTAAACACATTGAAATAGCATTGTCACAAATCTATGATGCAGGATATGAGAAAGGCAGGAATTTTACAGAAACAATTTTCAGTACTTTACATTAATAGTAGTAGTAGTAGTAGTAGTAATACACTTTATATTCTGTTTTATCTCCCTGAAAGGACTCAGAATAGATTACAATATACACGTATGAGGCAAACATTCAATGCCTTTTACACACAGCGAACAACAACATACAATACAGATAAAGGTAAAGATCTTCCCATTTTATCCATCTT